CACCTAACTTGGAGGTCTTCAAGAGGAGGCTAGATAGTCACCTGGCTGGGGTCGTCTGACCGCAGTCCTCTTTCCTGCCAGGGGCAGGGGGTTGGACATGATGATCCATTGTGGTCCCTTCTGACTCTACAATCTATGAATCTATGAATCTATGACAGTTAGGGGTAGGGCTGCGTGTGCCCAAGCCCCCAGCACGGCACCCTCTGCTCCCCAGTGCCAGGTGCCCTGCTCGGGCCAGAGGTGCCCGGGTCTTACTTGGCATGGCCTGGCTGGTACCGCAGGAGGCACTGGCCATAATAGGCAGATCCCATTGTGTCCCATGATAACAGACCTCACAGCTCTGGCCCCCATGGGACAGAGCAGCTCTCAGCAGTGCTGCCTGCATGCCCACTCACACCCCCACGCTGCCAGTGGTCCCTGCTGGTCTAGACTGGCTGAGGCATCCCACCAGGTTTCACTCACTGGGGTCTCGCCCCACAAGCCAGACTAAATGGGCCTAAGCCTTCAGGGCCAGGGCGGGGGGTGCAACCCAGCAAGGCAACCAGGGACCTTGTCCTGGGCTCGGACAGACTGGCAGGGCTCTCATGGGTCAACATGGCTCTTGTAGCAACTGTATTCGTGGTTGTTTTACATTCAGACCGCAACGGTGCTGCCTGGCCCTTGCATCACAAAGGATGTTACTGAAAACAGCCACCAGCCAGGATTGGCCAACAGGTGGGGAGGGACGTGTCCTGGGCCCAGAGCCGGCAGTGGGCAGCGCTGCTGGAGACTCCAGAGGTGGTTCAACAGGGAGAACTGCACCAGGCCTTTCTTGGGGGGCGATTGGGATCAACCTTCTGGAAACTGGCCCAGCCTGCACCTCCTGCCCCCGGGGACTAATTTGTGGAGGCTTCTTTTCTTCCATTCAGGGATGCCATAATCAACCCTGGGCCAGAGCATCACAAATGATGGGCCAGGAGGTCGTAGGTTTGGGCCCTGACCCTACTGAATGGACCCAGCTGGACATGTGGGCTGTGCTCTCTGCTCCCAGAGCTGGAGCTGCACCATGATGGGGAAGCAGAGGGCAGGACCCGGGCTCAGGGGCAGGGCAGGGGCAGGGGTCGTTCCCCAAGGCATCCTCTAAGCCCGGCAGAACCCGTGACACACATGGTCAGGAGGGACAGGAAAGCTGCTTATCCATAGTATTATTTCCTCTTGACTTATCTGACTTCAGCTTTGTCCTTAATACTCTCCTGGGCTCAGAGGGACAGGCAGGGCCATGGGGCCAGGCGAGTGGGGGGCTCTCAGCCACAGTGAAGGCAAAGCCAGAGGGATGAGGCTGGATGGGCTCTGCCAGGTACCAGCTATAGGAACTGGATGAACTGGCAGGATGGGACGGGGTCACAGCGGGATCACAGGTTTGGGCTGTAGGGGCCAGAGGAGCAGGGTGCTGGGTCATAGTCATGGGCCGAGTGTGAGCACAGTTTTGTTACCCAACATGTTTCATAGCAGCTTTCAGCTCAGCCTGAATGAAACACACCTGCTCCCACCTGACCACCAGTCCCTACCAGCAGGGACAGGCCGAGCATGGCGCAGAGGATGGGCACTGCTATCAGGTGTCGCCCCAGACCCTCCCCCCGCTACATGCATGGATAAGCAGCCAGCCATATGCATGCATCTGCCCCTCCTCCATTCTCACAGCCCTGCCAGCCACAGGCACCTGCAAATACCCCTCCTCCACACATGCAGAAGCCCAGGCACACCCCCTTCACATGAGCACACACTCCTCCACACACAGCTCTGCTCCATATGCACGTAGGAACCCTGGCTTGCACACATGAGAGCTCACACTCCCCAACACAGACATCTTCTACACGCATCTCTGCCCCATACACACACATGGGAACCCAGATGCAGGCACGTGCTCAGGCTCCGCCTACACACGTACACCTACACACACATCTCTGCTACATGAGTGCAGATGCACACACCTTTCTCACACGCATGCCTACTACACATGCACGCACACATGGACCTTCTAAATACACCCATATCTCTGCTACACACAGGTACAGCCAGCCAGGTGCACACAGTCCTGTACCCACACAACACACTGTTCTCCCCTTTCTACACACATGCACACGCACCCACACACAGATCCCTGCTACAGTTACAGACATCCAGACAGAGACACACCGCCTACACACACAAGCAGGCACCTATATGCATACATTCATTCTGCATACATTCACAGACACATCTGTCACATGCATGTGCAGGCAGCCAACCCCTCCCCCTGACAACACCTGCGACACACTGTCCTGTGGACTCACATGTCCCGTCCCATTCCCCCCACCCCCCCCACACTTCCCCAGCATGGTGGCACTGAGGCCTCGCTCAGCTTGTAGGGCCAGGCAGTACTGCTCATGCCCTGCCCTGGCTGCCAGCCCAAGGCCAGCTCAGCAGGCGACTGCCCAGTGGACAGGGACACTATAGCACCCCCATCCCATCCCCCCGAGTCATTGAAGAGGGGATTATCCAGGAGCTTCCAGAGCACAATGATTTGCAGCAGGCAGGGAGGTGTCGCAAAGGGCAAAGCGCTGCCATGGGGCCCAGCTGTGGGGCTGCGCAGAGCCCAAGGGACAAGGCAGGTCACAGCTGAGGGGCAGAGATGCTCACAGCCCCTGGCTGGACTCAGCATGGTCCTGGAGCCCAGGTTCCCTGGGCCTTATCAACAAAGGGATCCTCTGCCCAGTCTCCGAGTGCTTTGGAAACCTCCCCAAACTGCATGTGCCCCTGGGTTCAGCCCCTTCCCCTCAGCCCCAGATTGTTGATCCACTGCCCCAGACATCACCCTCACATCCCAGGCCCCCTGCAGACCTGGCCAGCCAGGGCATTGGCCCCTCTCGACTTGCTCCTTTAGGGCAGGCTGGAAAGTTCTGCAGATGCAGAAGGCTCCTGCCTCAGAGCAACCCCCTTACTGGAGAAGAGAGAGATGGGCAGGACCCCCGTGATACCGCATGGACCTCTGTTCCTCAGAGATCCTCTCTAGCTGAGTAGACAATGCAGGGAGGCAGATACCCCAGGAGGCCTCCCACAGAACTGGGCAGAGATACCCAAGGACCCAGGGAGCAAAGCATTTGCACAGGGTTGTGCCAGGGCTGTTGAGGTACAGGGCATGGCCGGCAAGGAGGCTAGCATGCCCTGCTCCTGGGCTGGCACTCAGCACAGTGCTGCCCTGTGCCACGCATGACCCTGACTGTCATCGGTGAGCTGTGAATGGCCCAACAGACATAGGCCTGGAGTCCAGCTTCCTGC